ATGCGTGCTCTGCATGTAGCGTACAACAATGCACTTCGGTTGATTTTTAAATTAGAGAGGTCGAGTAGTGCAAGTGGTAATTGTGTCAGAAGAAACATTTTCAATTTGTCAACACTTCATAGAAAATCATTGTACAATCTTAAACAGCGATTGTTTCAGAGTGACAATAGTATAATTGATATTTGTATAAATAGTGATTTATTCCTAAGGTCTAGTTTTTGGCGCAATTATAGACGCCTTCTTTATAAATAATGTTATTTCTGTTGTAATTTCTCTATGGACCTTTGAGTCTGAAATAAAGTATAATAGTATAATAATAATAATTACTTTACATGTAACATGAGACCAATCATGATGGATGTGATTAGTCATTCCTAACACCTGGTACCGACGCTGAGGCTACAGTGGTTCGTGAGGGTCGCAACCTTGAGTTGCTTTGTGAGGCATTGAATACTCCTCCTGTTGTGTGCCTCCTATTTAAACACAGTATAGCTGAGACGAATTCCCAGGTTACATTGTGTCCGGTTTAATGTTTACAGTTGTTTAAGGCGGTGTTCGAGGTGAACAAGTTTTTCAGTTTACATATAGTTTTAATTTAGTTAAGCCACACTGTTTTTGTGAATATTGCAAACAAATTACAAGCAAATCTTAAATTTCCAAATCGCAAAATATAACGATTTCACAGATGTCACTGTAAGAGGTTAATTTACCCCTTATCTATGCAGAAATTACCTACCTGCAAGTGGTGGCCCACATAGATTTCCAATGCCAGCATAGAATAAATACCACCCGAATGCACTTGATAAATGTTGAACTCCAACACAGATTTTCAAAGAGACTGGCCCATTAAGTGGTGAATGAATACCACTTGAGACGCCATATAATGCAGCTATGAAGACATGCACTGCATAGTTGCCATTGGCAATGGCAACCAAAGCCGCTGATGTTCCAGCCACAGTTGCTGCACATGCAGCAAAAAACATTGGTGAGTGGTAACCTAAGTCGACAAACCAACCATGTGTGATTCTTCCGATCAATGAACCAATCCCTAAAACGGTCATTAAAAAGGAAGCCTCGCGTACTGGGATGCCAGAAGTCACGGCTTTGTTCACGAAATGAACAAAAATGGCAAGTTTACCCATATTTGTAATCAATATACATATGGACAATGTGCAAAACCAGTTGTTTGTGAATAAATGTGTTCCAAGATGTTCACTGACTTTCCTTCTCAGTGACATTGGTTTTTCCATAACACCACTGTCTATATATTCTGTATTTATCTGGCTATCACTATATTGTCTAGTTTTGTAGCAGGTGGATTCTTCGTTGTATTTTTCATCTGGATCAGACTCCACTCCTAACAGCACGTGCTCACTGGTTATATTAGTGTCATCTTTTGTATTCTTAGTCAGGTTGTCCTCATCTATCCTAATGTGTACTTTAAGTGGCGGTCTCATTAACATCCCGCATACAACCACATTCAGATTGATTCCTGCCATCACAATCATTGCACCTCTCCACCCATACGTCTCGATTAACTTGTGGTGTAGAGGGGGAAACACCATCATGCCAACAGAATTACCTGCATACACGATACCATTGGCTAGGGCGTGTCGTTTGTGACAATATTGTCCTACAATCACAATACTTGGACCACAGGTAAGTGAAAATGCCATTCCTATGAGAAAACAACATTGTACAGTTGTAGTCGTCTGTACTTTTAATTGTTCTGAGATGAGATACTTCATTGCGTGTAAGCCAGCGATCAACTGTATCATGTACATTACTGATGCAAACAAGAAACTTCCTTAATATTTAGTTTCATATTGCATATATAAAATATATACAACTAAGTTCGACACACCTCAAATAGGAATGACTCAACAGTACTGTGTCATTATTCTTAAGCAGCAGCAGCATGGATCTTGGATTAGGATTAGAGGTTAAGCTCCTTTAGAAATCTTATTATTAAATTAAAAAATTATATTAGTATAGATTATAAATAGCTATTACATGTCTCACCTGTAACACAGAATGTTAACAATAAAACATTAATACTGTTTGCAAATGAGCTTAGAAATATAGCAACACTGGATATCACTCCGCCGATAATGACCAAAGGTCGAGTCCCAAATCTATTATTCAAAATGCTGACCAAAGGACCTGTGAATAAATATGTGAAAAGTTAACTTGATTTTAAAAAGTGATCCGTGTTACTCTTAATTTTGAACTACAAAAGCGAAAGGCTCGGGAAAGTAAGGCCGGTAAACATGTGCTTCATCAACACAAACTATGTCTCAGCAATGAGAAGTACTATATTCTGGAATGCCACTGTACTAAGTGAAACATTCAACAAGTACATTGAAGTATGTTAATCATAACAGTAATTGTCTTACTTGGAAGTGTCATCATGGCAGTTGAAAGAGCTTGGAATAGAGCGGTTTTTCCCGTGCCTTCTCCAAAATATTCCAAAAACGCAACTAGGAAAACACCCATGCCGATCCCGGAAGATCCTACAATCACACATTTGCTGAGAAAACTGGCAAAGACAACCATCCAACCATACCATCCACCGTCTTCTTTCCTGAACAGCTTCATAACAGTAGCACCAATGTATAATATTTCTGTTCAACCCCCTCACCTGCGAACTATAATATCAATGATTTTTAAATGTCAGTAAGGTTGTTATTCAAGATCTGACTCTTATCGCTTGTTACTAACTAGCTAACAGTGCTGACGTGGAGGTATGTACTAAATGGATTACTGTAGTCATGGTAATATATGGCTGCTGTGCTCTTCCAAATACTGTCACTGTGAGTGAGTGGAGTAAATGTTTGTGCTGAATAATGAAGAAAACAAATTATTGTCATTGAAACATTATTTTATATATTTTGAAATCTTCCGTATACTGTAAAAAAACATAACAACAAATGAACATAGTTGCTTACGGGGAGAGTAAATGGTCACGGTAAAAACTCGAGGTATTATAGATAGTGGTTGAAGTGTGATTAAGCCCAGGAAAGAGAAGGTATCATATATATTTTGGGGATTTTAATTTACGAGAAGCGGTTTATTAATGTCCAACTATTAGGGTTGTACAAACCAGTTTGTTTCCTAATCATATCTACCAGAAAATCTGTGGAAATAATAAATTTCATTTATTACTCGTTAGGCTTAATTACAGATGCAGCCCCAAACTGAAACTACTGGAGAATATACCCGGGTCAATACGGAACCCCCAGGCAATCATGCATCCGATGACTGTAGTTTCCTAATTCTCACAAATGTTTTCAACGCCACAATGGGCTGCTCGGAAGCTTGTGGGGGAAGTGGGCGCTTTCTGGTAGGTATGATTGGATAAACAAACGGATTTGTAATATCCTCATAGTTTACTACATCATCTACCAGAAAATCCGGAGGTGGGGGGGCTCCGACAGCTAAAATAGGGCCCAAACAATTTTAATGCATTCACACAGTGTATTGGTTGGGTTTGATAGAGCAAAGCAAAAGGAGGCTGGTTTTAGCCGAAGATGCCATCGTGCTAACGCTTTCGCGCACGGGCCACTTGGTGGTGCAGGCTGGGTCCATGAAAACCGTCTTACACGTCACCACTTGTCCCAACCTGTAGAGACCCTCGTCCAACACTTGGAGGTCTCTCAGGTAATAGTTAATGAAGACATTCTGAGATCTCAAGAATCCAGCTCGGAGCACCTGCTTGAGCTAGGCACCATACATCAAAGCCAAATAGTTGGCTACTATGTGCAGTTCATGTGCCCTCACCTGGTGATGTTCCAAACTGGTCATTGAAGAAGCCGTTAAATTTTACTCTTCTACGACCGTATCAACAATCCATGGTGATATTCGAGACAGGGTGGTTTGTTTGCCCTGCCCATAACAGACAAATATGCGCTTTTCACTGCCCGGGACACTTTGGTGCAAATAAATTACCAGCTCAGACAGACGTCTCTTCCATGCCCACTAAGTAGTGAGGCGTGGGAGGACGATCAGTTCCGGGTCATTCCATGGGCTTGATTCTTGGCAAGAAAGCCCATTCGAGTCTTCAAAATAACTTGCAAGTTCATGAAAGAGGCACATCCATCACTGAAGGACAGTGCCCCTATCTCTGAACGCAGCCTACCTGACGCCAGAGCCACCCAAAAAAACTTGTTTTTCTAGCGACATACTTCATGTCCACCTTATCCATAGGCTCAAAGGGGTGTCGTAACGTTGCTAGGACCAACAACAAGTCCCAGACTGGAGGATATATTAGCCTCTTGGCACATGGCCTCTTCAAGTGAAAGGACTTAAACAGTTGTAGCATAACTGAACTCGAAGCCAGTTTCAGTCCAGGAGACAAAACTAGGAACAAAACTACCCGATATCCAAGAATCAAATAAATACAAGGGACATCGCTAATAAAGGGACAGAGATGATCAATCTTCCTTCCGTTACACCAATCGATGTAGAGTTTTGGCTCATACAAATGAGTGCTGTTTGACGGGGATCCAGAAGTTTCAGCAACTCTCCTAGGGACTCGACTAGAAGGTCGATAATATTAGGACCAGGCCTTTACTGGCAAATTGGGCGCCATCAGTGTCAGAAGGCAGGTGGGCTCGAGTTGCAGTTTCTCCAACACTTGGTGCACTAGTAGGAAGTATGGAAGGGCATAAGCGTCCATGTGACTTCCAGAGATCTATATAGCGCCCGTGGCAAATGTGCTTGTCTATGACATGTATGCCGGGAGCTTGGTATTCCGGTGACTGGCAAACAGATCTATCGAGGGACCATCCCAGAGACGAATAAAAAGCGATCTGCCACCACTAGAGGATCTGCAAACATGCCCCAAGTGGGCATCCGCATCACTGTTGCGTCTCCTCAGAAGGTGATGAGAGAAAATGTGGGGAAACACATCCCCCTCTTTGCTGTACGACACTACTGAGGTGTTGTCTGTCTGAAGACGGACTCTGTGGTGCATCAGTTCATGTATAAAAGCCGAACCCATTGACTGGAGTTAGCTGTCGAGTTCCATGAAGGAGTTTTACTGGGCCTGAGAGGAACGGACAAGCCCTTGTTCCGTTTCAAACTACATACACAGAAAAAAATAGGTTGCAGGACGGTATGGCGTTGTACTTGAGAATATTTATCAAAAAGCTCAACTCAGAGTAGCATTTGTGTTAATCACATGCTCCGCTGACACCTCCCTGTCTCGGTTTTGCCCTAACCAGTCATCACGGTATGGGTTCAGATAAACTGACGACTGGTGGAGCAGCTGGGTCACCTTTCTAAACACACCCTGATGAAGATGTATGGCTCTATAAACTTGTTTCTCATCTGCGTGAGTCTTCGGTACTTTGATCATGATACTCCCACGAAAATGAAACTTGGATTTGCTATGCGGCGGGCGGTAACAAAAATAAGATAAAAATAACAGTTTTTTAGCAATTTTTTGTGCTTACAAATCGGTGGGCGCGAGAAATTACACTGAAATAAAATTTTATTTTTAATTCATTTTCGGCTCCTGTTTGTTCACAAAACAAGGGATAATAAAAGTCTGGCCTAAAGTGAATCTGAGATACCGGCTACAATACAAGAGTGGTCAATGGGGATGTGGAAATATGCATAGCTCAACTCCAGCGACGCCAACCAATAACCCAAGTGCACTGACAGAAGCACGGAAATAGGTGTTTCCATCCAGAAGCGATTGAGCTCTACAAACTCGTTCAGCCGCCTGAGGGGTCAAGGGGTCAGAAACTCTCCTGCGCCAAGCTGTTGTGCGCTGCTTTGGCGTGATCCGACAAGGAGGAGCGAACGAGGGTTCAGAGTTTGCCGAAATCCAGGCAGCTGGTGAAGCCTTTAAAGAGACTTTGTGGCTCCCTGGTCGCAGAAGTGACAGAACATCCTACCACCAGGGTCACGTTCTTGGACCTCTTCTGACACTTCCCGCTACTGGTCTTCTTCCACCCCTTAAAAGGAGACCGCAAGCCCTTAGATCCTTGCTGGGACTGGTCCTAAACAGGGGACTTATTGCCTGAGCCATCCTGCGGTTTGCCGAAAAAGGGTAAACAGCCCTAGCCAACAAGAATGATTGCTTCAATTGGATACATTGATCCTGAGAAACCACCAAAACAATCACTGCATCAGCTAGCCGGCCACCAAAGTGCCGGCCACATGCCCGAGGCCACAGGCCCAAGGCCCTCTCCACAGGCAATCAAACTTGTCTCCCGCTGGAGTGGGGTAGGTAAACTGACCCAGTATGGTCTCCGGCACAACCAAAACAGCTCCTGCCAAGAGGGCAGTATTGACTTGCAGGATGTCACACATAGCAACTCTCTGCGCAGCCAAAACTGGTCCATCTGCCCAAGGATCGTGGTTCGTTGCCTAGCACTCAGGTGGACAGAACTTAAAAAGGTGAGCTGGCGCTTTAACGCCAAGGAGACCCATTCTACAAAGTTGATGTTTAAGTTCAAGTTTTGCCCGCAGCGCCCGATGCACTTGTAGGCTCTGGTGCCGGTCAAATGACCTTGCAACATGACCTTGCGATCCACATAAACTGCCTAAACAAAAGGCATGAGTCATGGGATCGGGTTGGGGATCTCGTGAAGAAGGCTGTGCACTGCATGAGTAACCCATTGACAGTTTGCATAGCGCCGATGGGGTATCTGTGCCAACAGGAAGCATGGAACAGGACCGACCGAATCCAGGATCAGTCTTCCCACCCTTGTATCCCGAAGGGTACCAATCAACTCCCCTCTATGGCCCTCTGAGCCCCCTCCACAACCTGGGTCACACAAGGTGTCCAGGGGAGTTGGCCATAAGCCATGGTCTCCACGTCGGCAGTGGGAGAGGGGAGCTCCAATAAAAACAAAAAAGTCCAAATCCAATTCCTCCATTCAGGGAGGTGAGATCACCACTGGTCCCACACGAAAACAAAGTCTCGCGCCAAGCACTGCCCGGTTCACAAGTTGTGTCCTTAACTGTATAATGGTAAGGGTCAGCTGGGCTTCGATTGGCTGGGTAGCCTTTGCTTGGTAGCTTGGCTTGACAAATGTAAGAACATGCAGTTTTTTTTATATCACTTTTTATTCTCTAGATATTCAACTTTTCATCAATTTATGTAGTCCGCTATTTTGATTCTTCAGCAAAGAATTTTTGGGTAAAGTATGACGATTTCATACTGATTCTCAATCTCAGATTCCGGGCATAAATTCAAAGCTAGCCACGACACCAGTTTTAAACACCGTATTTATCCGGATATAAGCCCAGGGTCCTGAATATGGAAAATTGTCAAAAAATAGGGGTGGGCGTTTGCCAGAATATCTCCGGCAAAAGTAATGAAAATTCGCGAAAATTGACAACACGCAGATCTAACTGTGGCAGGGAATAGAACGGCAAATGAAAACATGCAACGGAAATAAATGAACAATATGCAACATTAGAAGTAAAACAAAACTAATGCATTGTTATAATGTTACAAATAAACCAGAAATAATAAAAATCGTCAGTGAGGAATCATTTGAATCAGGATTCAACACGCCCAATACGCGAGAACTCAAAATTAATTAAAATGTCAAGGGTTAAACTGCGTAAAATGATTTCCGGTCTCGACAAATTACGAATCAACCGGCATACAAGATCAATAATAATTTACAAATTTACACAGTAAAAATTATAAAAATTCATAGACTTCTCGGATCTGTATTTGTACGTTCATTGCTATCTTCGTCAAACTCAAAACCCTCAAAGTCCAAGTCGGCGTCACTGTAGCCGTTGAACAAAATCCCTACAACTTCTTCCTGAAGTTCGTCGATATCGTCCCACTCAATTTAGCACTTTTAATCCACGGATTTCGTTCATGTCTAATCACAATGAAGAGACAAGAAAAATGGGGTCGCTCTGCTGCGATGGCACACGATGCTTTTGTTTACAGTCTGGCAATCATCTTTGACCTTTATGCATCTGCTGTACTGATTGGCTAAGAATGACATCACTACTAGTATTTCATCATAAAGGTCAAATCGTGACATTGCTTTCTTGTCACACTCGACGCTTATCAATCATGTAGCAAGTTCCGCGCCGGTGGTTTGAATGTCTCACTAGATGGATATCGCGGTGGGCTTGAAATGGGAAGTTTTATTTTTATATCCAACGACAGAAGAATAGTTTTCGTGATAGAAATGCAATAGCGGGGATGAAAGATGGTAAAAAAGTTGGCAGTCTTCGGCGTGACATTGCAAAATTGCTGGCCCCAGTTATGGATGCTACCAAATATTTTATAAAGCCAACATAACGTGATTTCAACCACTCTCCCAGGTACTGGTTGCTACAATAATGCAACATTGGTTTTATTGTTGACGACGCTACAGCCGAACGAGTGCGACACTTGCTTGGGGGCTCTCCTTATACGATTTGCTTGAATCGTTTCTAAGGAAGCACAAACCAAACGGCCGGCACCTTTTAGGGCCATGACATATTTCAAAAAGAGAACTACCGTTTCTGCTTTAATATATATATATATATTTATAGACTTCCTGAATCTTGAAAAATAAATGTAAATCAGCGGTGAAGCCCTGAAGGCAGAAAGTGAAATACCTATTTTGCTGTCCAGCTATTACGCGTTCATCATGAGCGGATTTAGAGGCCCCCCCCCCCCCACCGAGTAAAAAAAGACCCCCTGGGCGTGTGCCCTGATACGACCTCAACTTCTGTGTCAAAAGTGGGGGTGGGTGTTTGCCCCGGCATGGGCTCTTACCCGGATAAGTACGGTAAGTGCATCCAGGGAAAAATCAGTAACAGGAGTGATTGGTTCTGCTTCCTGCTTGGGATGTACATGTCCTATAACGGCACGGTTTGATTTTGAAAATACAACCATACAGTAACTAGCACCTTAGTTCAGTTGTCTCTTATCAGCACATCCATGATGCAAGTGTGACCAATATTGCTACGACATACAATATACTTGCACCAAATAGAGAACATAATGCCCTGGTCATAAAATTGTCAAGTCGTCGTGGGTGTTAATACTGTCCATTCGTTCCATTTTACAGTGCCTGGGACTAATGGCATGCTCTCCAGTACTAGCCAATGAACGGATATCACCTTTAAGATCTGCATACTTTCTCCAATTAAAACACCCTTGCTTGACATAATTCTCCATTGCGGGACTTAGAAATTGGCTTTGATCATGAATATTCACAGGTGATCATATACGACCAACCTCACCTTATGACAACAAATTTATACCGCTCGTGCATATGCCATTCACGCATTGTGTACTGCAATACATGTTCCAGGACTTTTATAGCATATTAATAGGTGAATGTTCCCTTTTCCCCCCATTTAATGCAAAATCTCAAGGACTCACTGAAGCCTTCAAAAGTACAAGAATTTTTGTAAATTTAAACATCTACATAAGGTTTGGGATGGGGGAGGGTCTGGTTCCAGAATCTCAGAAATGCTTGATTTTGTAAAATGGCCACCTATCAGCCATCTTGAAGATTACGCATTGATCGGCACACATCTTGCCAGTCGTGGATTTAGTCGCAGCTTATAAACCATATTAGTCAACATAATTAAAATACTGATACATGCAATGTAATTCTGTTCATCACGGATTATTCATCTACACACTAAAAGTCACACAACATAGTTATGCATCAATTATCACGACAATATATGACAGCATGTGGGGCCATGGACACTGAATAATGATTCAAATTTAACTGAAAATTTTTTTATTCTGCTGAAGCCACGGTGACATAGAAGTACAAAAAAAAGAAATGAATAACAGTTTATACAATATTTACTTTACCACAAGAGACAGCTGAAGGGGGTAAACAACTCAATTCATGATGTACAGAGCGCAAGACAACTGAACCAATCATGGAATTGGAAATTAGAGTCAGTAGTCATGTAAGGAGTGTTAACATTTTATGTGTACTCTTATATATGCATCATACATGTTGCATCGGATACACATTGAACACAACAAAACTGAAGAGTTTGGGAGGGCTCCATTGCAAGTTTAATCAGTCGAAAGCAATTTTAAAAGTCAGTCTTGAAATAGGGTGCCCTCAGAAGAATACCTGCTATGGCTTATATTGTTTGTAGATCCAAACACGCACATCGAAGAAATAGACCAGAAATATGTTAAAGGAAAATCTCATTTTCTCTTGACCCTCAATTAGGCTTCAATGATAGTATAGGATATGTCTTAGGCTTAATTACTCTCAAATTCATACACAACATATGCTGCACAGTGTAATATTGCAGGGGAAAAGTGGAAAAATGATGAAACATTTCCAATTGAAAACAAAGTCACTCTTAATTTCTACCACTGAGGGCGCTGCCATTAATAAGTTAAAAATGTGCATTATGTCAAATGGGGAGCCACCAGACTACTATTTCTAACCCATCTGTCCAGATGCCACAGCCTCCTGGTATGATTGACCCCCCTGTTTCTGTTCCGGGGCCAACTTTATCATATCATCTATACGTAGAATAGTAATTGCGGCCTCTGTAGCAAATTTCAAACTCTTAATTTTACAGATGGCTGGTTCAAACACGCCCGCTTTCTTGTTGTCTCGCACTACTCCTTCGACCAGATCTAAGCCACTCCTGTAAGAAAGAGCAAGAGAGTTGGTTCATATACAGATTGTATAGATGGATGTAAACAAGATGATTTGATTATTTTTGTTGTTGTTGAGATTTTATGATTATGTAGTTTACAAGTTTTACAAGTTAATTTTAATGTCAATTACAAATACAATTTGGAATTTTCATTGATCAAACTCAGATGAGCATACAACTCTCAGAGCAACATGCAAAAATACAAGTAAAGCTTTCCAAGTGTGCATTCATGCATTTACCAAGAAATGTCTCCATGCTGAATTGCTTGAGTTACGGCCAGAGTTACAGAAACGACCACGTCCATATTTTTTAAAACACACCAAGTTTTGTGAAACCATGCCCAAATTGTAACTCGATGTTCAATTAACAGAACTTAGAGTTACGAGCAGCATACATTTTGTTTTCTGTTCATTGTCCACATTCAGCAACTCAAACTTTAAATAAGTTAACCAAACTTTGAGTTACAGGCAACATGTATTTTTTGTTTCGTTTCAAATTTTGTAACTCGAACTGTAATTAACAGTTATTCAAACTTCGAGTTAGTAATTCAAAATTTAATTAACAGTTAACCACAGTTCATAACTCGATGTCCATTACTTGAACAATTCAGCATCTTTTTTACCAGTATTGAGAAATCAAAGTCATCAGGCAATGTATTCCTTGGACAGGGTAACAGAAGCATCCCATTTTTATGGCAAACTATTTTTTTTTTAAACGCAACAAGCTTTTTCAGATACTAACCACTTGAGATGTTTATGGTCTGCCTTGATCTGAGCAGTGTTATGATAAGCTCTCAGTTTAGCCACTAAATCAGTTGAGTCTTGGGCTGCATTTACAGCTAGTGTTTTCGGTATGACAAGTAGAGAATGGGCAAACTCTGCTATGGACAACTGCTCCCTAGAACTCTGAAAAAAAATAAAAGAATCTTTTCATAAATGACAATGTGGTAAATTGTTAAGTTGTTGCCATACACCATTTAATCAATTGAGAAAAATCCAGAGGAATAAAAAGTACACGAACGGTACTCTGATTTATAGTTTCAAGAACCGTAGCAAAATCATTATTGCTACAAAACTGCATGATTTTTGATTCACAACACAAATTCTTTTTCTGTTAAGTGCATTGATTCACAACATGATAAGATGGGTGACCCAATATACATCATAAACTGAAAACACAAGACCAGTGTTATTTACTTCAGATTGTGTTTCATCTCATGGGGCTGGGATCAAGTTTTCCAGACATACACAAACGGAAGAAAATAAACTAAATTGAAATACAAGTTTCTTGTTTTTTGATCAAGATTTTCATTGCGATCGATATTATTAAAGTACCTAAAATTAAACTGATATCAAATAATAGTGAGTACCAACCAGTGATGTAGCAAAATTTTCTAGATAGATTGACAGTGCTGCTTCTACACATCCGCCACCAGGTACAACTGTTTTGCTTTCCAGAACACGTTTCACAACGCACAGCGAGTCATGTAATGATCGTTCCATTTCATCGCACATGAAGTCATTAGCACCACGTAGGATAACTGATGCAGCACTGCGAGCTTTGGTTCTAAAAATTAAATAGATAGTTTAATTGTTTTATTTATTACTCAGATTACAGATTTGAAAGCCTCAGTTTCTTATGCGGGTTGACACGCGAGTAATAAGCTGCTGTACAAAAAACAAATCGGGAGTCTGATGTGCATCACAGACCATTCTTGACGAGAAATGCTTAACCAGTTCCCTCTTTTCATCACAAAACAGTCCCGTTTATAGCCTGCACTTTTCTTCAGAAGATTTGATCTAAAATAGCCATTTTTTTTTTTTTTTTTGTAAATATAGAAAATTGACTCAAATGTCTGTATATATGAAGTGCAACAAATTATGAGCAGGAAAACCTGATGGTGAAAAGGTTATTAGTGAATTTTTATTTCGTGGTAGGGCCTTGTGATTTTTGAATCATCAATCAGAAAATTCTGCACTATGAAACTGACTTTCCAATGTTTTAGGGGATCAAGTCACAATCACAATAGAATGTATGGAAATTCTTGGTAATGTTCAGCTATTAACAAGAAGATTTTGACCTTGACTGCTTGCAAATACCACAACTATAGCATTTGGTGTTTAGACAATCGCTTCATATTGTCAAAGTCCTCCAATAAAATATGCATGCATATAACATAGCTTTGGTACCTGAACTGGTACAGTGGTTAGCTTGTTCACCTTGCATCAGAGAGGTTAATTACCAGAGAAAACTGTTTATTCAGAAAAATATATTTATACCTTCAAAGCATGCAATATCAAGTTTTAGAGCCATGCACTTGCAATTAGCACCAGAAACAAATTCCAAGAAAGACAGCAGTGATTTCAATGTCTGGAAATGTTGGCTAGCACAACAATTTATTTAAAAAATCAAAAACAAAACCTTAAACACTTTGCACTCACCCTTTGATTAAAAGGAGCTCATCATCACTGATTCTCTCTTGTACGACTTCCTCAGCTTGTCCCAACATTGAGGCATCAAAGCTCTCTTCCCCTTCCAAGTTAGCAAGGGTTGATATAAATGTTGCTGCAAGTAAATAAAGCCTAAATAATGACCACTGCATTTTTATTTCAAGGTGAATAAAAGTGTGATGTAAATGAATCAAGCATTTAACCAACATTTCAAATCAGTCATTACACCCATTTTAAGAATTATTCACACTGTCAGTTACCAGGATAGCTGTCAACTTTGCAAAACACTTTGGTGTTTGCTTTGTTCTAGACTTAACAGCGCCGCTTGACAAATAGTGTGCTGTATATGATTCACTTTTTCATAGGGTGTTCAATATTATGATTTGAAAACTTGATATGTATTCAACAACCATTCTTCATTTTTCGTTTACGGTATCTACATTGTACGTAATTCGAGAAATATTAAAACGCATCAAAATAACCTATTGGTATATTCTACTGGTAAAAAACGCTTTTCATTTTGAAAAACTGTATTTTACCCTCATAGGGTATAAAATCAAATGACTTAAACTGCATGTTTTAATGTAACGCCGCCATCAAGTCTAGAATGGTCAAAAACATCTTGCTAACCAACTATACAAATAATTTGCAGAATGAAGATAACATTTTGGCAAGTAATTTTGCCTTTTTTTTGTATTTGTTCATGGTTTTTTTTTTTTTTTACATAATTTTGAACCAAATGGATACAAGTGTGGGCTTTTTTTTGTTTGAAAAATGACAAATGTTGATTTTGGTGCTCAAAGGGTAAATACAACATTGAATGAACTGAACCATTAGTACAAGACAAAACAATCCAATTGACAGATC